AATGACACTTTTGTGTTCCCTGCAGTGTCAGCTTTACAGAAACTCTGGAAAATAGTTTGCTGCCTAAAGCGTTCATTACCTACAAACATTTTCAGTGAGGAGAATTTGTGTTAGCTGACCTGAAGAAACAACTTCACTAGGGATTGTGAGCATGTTTGAATTGGGCTTGAAGTACAAATCCTATTCAAACTAGTCTATTGTGCTTCCAGAGCATTCCACTTCAAAAGCAACGACAGTTCAATGTGTATGGGTATGACATGAATAAAGTGACCTGGCAAGATCAATGGCAGCTCAAACGGCTCCGTCTCAGTTCAGAAGTACTTGATACAAAACTATGGCAGTGCCTTAGTGAGCCTTCTAGAGAAATTATGTTGTGGCATAAGGCCCACCTTTACTGAAGTTCGCAATAATCCATTGTAGCTCAAACAATTCAATGTAATTATTTACTTCAGGGCAATTACAATGACACTTTTGTGTTCCCTGCAGTGTCAGCTTTACAGAAACTCTGGAAAATAGTTTGCTGCCTAAAGCGTTCATTACCTACAAACATTTTCAGTGAGGAGAATTTGTGTTAGCTGACCTGAAGAAACAACTTCACTAGGGATTGTGAGCATGTTTGAGAGATAAAAACAACACAAATGTGGCCAGAAAAGTCCTACCTTTACAGAGGTGCGTGACAAACGATTCCAGCTCAAGCCAAATCTTTTCATCCATGTCTTGTTTAAGATTTGCTCGGTCCTGTCTGACTGTGTGCTTCCAACAGTTCCTCGTTAGTATAGTGGTGAGTATCCCCGCCTGTCACGCGGAGACCGGGGTTCAATTCCCCGACGGGGAGGTTGCTGCCTTTTGCAAGCCTTAACTCAGAATGCCTGCTTCAGTCTAGTATGTGTCTTTTCATTTTTGACAGCATCTGCCGAGGATTTTCCGTAAACGCACCGTTTCTTGCCAACTCGCGCATTGGTGGTTCAGTGGTAGAATTCTCGCCTGCCACGCGGGAGGCCCGGGTTCGATTCCCGGCCAATGCAATGGACAACAGACTATTTTACTGAGATAATTTGGATTGTTTTTGATACGTGGAAAGTAAAACAAAGTCATATTTGAGTCAATAGGCAGTTTAAACATTTACAGTACACAGAATTTAAAAATGGCCTTTAACTGCCTCAAATTGAAATGGAATATAAGGCAAAAGATCCTTTGGGTCTGGCAGTGAAACGCAACGTGGCATAAAGCATTATCTTTTGTGACATGTGTTGATCAATTGGGCTTGAAGTACAAATCCTATTCAAACTAGTCTATTGTGCTTCCAGAGCATTCCACTTCAAAAGCAACGACAGTTCAATGTGTATGGGTATGACATGAATAAAGTGACCTGGCAAGATCAATGGCAGCTCAAACGGCTCCGTCTCAGTTCAGAAGTACTTGATACAAAACTATGGCAGTGCCTTAGTGAGCCTTCTAGAGAAATTATGTTGTGGCCGAATAAGGCCCACCTTTACTGAAGTTCGCAATAATCCATTGTAGCTCAAACAATTCAATGTAATTATTTACTTCAGGGCAATTACAATGACACTTTTGTGTTCCCTGCAGTGTCAGCTTTACAGAAACTCTGGAAAATAGTTTGCTGCCTAAAGCGTTCATTACCTACAAACATTTTCAGTGAGGAGAATTTGTGTTAGCTGACCTGAAGAAACAACTTCACTAGGGATTGTGAGCATGTTTGAATTGGGCTTGAAGTACAAATCCTATTCAAACTAGTCTATTGTGCTTCCAGAGCATTCCACTTCAAAAGCAACGACAGTTCAATGTGTATGGGTATGACATGAATAAAGTGACCTGGCAAGATCAATGGCAGCTCAAACGGCTCCGTCTCAGTTCAGAAGTACTTGATACAAAACTATGGCAGTGCCTTAGTGAGCCTTCTAGAGAAATTATGTTGTGGCCGAATAAGGCCCACCTTTACTGAAGTTCGCAATAATCCATTGTAGCTCAAACAATTCAATGTAATTATTTACTTCAGGGCAATTACAATGACACTTTTGTGTTCCCTGCAGTGTCAGCTTTACAGAAACTCTGGAAAATAGTTTGCTGCCTAAAGCGTTCATTACCTACAAACATTTTCAGTGAGGAGAATTTGTGTTAGCTGACCTGAAGAAACAACTTCACTAGGGATTGTGAGCATGTTTGAGAGATAAAAACAACACAAATGTGGCCAGAAAAGTCCTACCTTTACAGAGGTGCGTGACAAACGATTCCAGCTCAAGCCAAATCTTTTCATCCATGTCTTGTTTAAGATTTGCTCGGTCCTGTCTGACTGTGTGCTTCCAACAGTTCCTCGTTAGTATAGTGGTGAGTATCCCCGCCTGTCACGCGGGAGACCGGGGTTCAATTCCCCGACGGGGAGGTTGCTGCCTTTTGCAAGCCTTAACTCAGAATGCCTGCTTCAGTCTAGTATGTGTCTTTTCATTTTTGACAGCATCTGCCGAGGATTTTCCGTAAACGCACCGTTTCTTGCCAACTCGCGCATTGGTGGTTCAGTGGTAGAATTCTCGCCTGCCACGCGGGAGGCCCGGGTTCGATTCCCGGCCAATGCAATGGACAACAGACTATTTTACTGAGATAATTTGGATTGTTTTTGATACGTGGAAAGTAAAACAAAGTCATATTTGAGTCAATAGGCAGTTTAAACATTTACAGTACACAGAATTTAAAAATGGCCTTTAACTGCCTCAAATTGAAATGGAATATAAGGCAAAAGATCCTTTGGGTCTGGCAGTGAAACGCAACGTGGCATAAAGCATTATCTTTTGTGACATGTGTTGATCAATTGGGCTTGAAGTACAAATCCTATTCAAACTAGTCTATTGTGCTTCCAGAGCATTCCACTTCAAAAGCAACGACAGTTCAATGTGTATGGGTATGACATGAATAAAGTGACCTGGCAAGATCAATGGCAGCTCAAACGGCTCCGTCTCAGTTCAGAAGTACTTGATACAAAACTATGGCAGTGCCTTAGTGAGCCTTCTAGAGAAATTATGTTGTGGCCGAATAAGGCCCACCTTTACTGAAGTTCGCAATAATCCATTGTAGCTCAAACAATTCAATGTAATTATTTACTTCAGGGCAATTACAATGACACTTTTGTGTTCCCTGCAGTGTCAGCTTTACAGAAACTCTGGAAAATAGTTTGCTGCCTAAAGCGTTCATTACCTACAAACATTTTCAGTGAGGAGAATTTGTGTTAGCTGACCTGAAGAAACAACTTCACTAGGGATTGTGAGCATGTTTGAATTGGGCTTGAAGTACAAATCCTATTCAAACTAGTCTATTGTGCTTCCAGAGCATTCCACTTCAAAAGCAACGACAGTTCAATGTGTATGGGTATGACATGAATAAAGTGACCTGGCAAGATCAATGGCAGCTCAAACGGCTCCGTCTCAGTTCAGAAGTACTTGATACAAAACTATGGCAGTGCCTTAGTGAGCCTTCTAGAGAAATTATGTTGTGGCCGAATAAGGCCCACCTTTACTGAAGTTCGCAATAATCCATTGTAGCTCAAACAATTCAATGTAATTATTTACTTCAGGGCAATTACAATGACACTTTTGTGTTCCCTGCAGTGTCAGCTTTACAGAAACTCTGGAAAATAGTTTGCTGCCTAAAGCGTTCATTACCTACAAACATTTTCAGTGAGGAGAATTTGTGTTAGCTGACCTGAAGAAACAACTTCACTAGGGATTGTGAGCATGTTTGAGAGATAAAAACAACACAAATGTGGCCAGAAAAGTCCTACCTTTACAGAGGTGCGTGACAAACGATTCCAGCTCAAGCCAAATCTTTTCATCCATGTCTTGTTTAAGATTTGCCGGTCCTGTCTGACTGTGTGCTTCCAACAGTTCCTCGTTAGTATAGTGGTGAGTATCCCCGCCTGTCACGCGGGAGACCGGGGTTCAATTCCCCGACGGGGAGGTTGCTGCCTTTTGCAAGCCTTAACTCAGAATGCCTGCTTCAGTCTAGTATGTGTCTTTTCATTTTTGACAGCATCTGCCGAGGATTTTCCGTAAACGCACCGTTTCTTGCCAACTCGCGCATTGGTGGTTCAGTGGTAGAATTCTCGCCTGCCACGCGGGAGGCCCGGGTTCGATTCCCGGCCAATGCAATGGACAACAGACTATTTTACTGAGATAATTTGGATTGTTTTTGATACGTGGAAAGTAAAACAAAGTCATATTTGAGTCAATAGGCAGTTTAAACATTTACAGTACACAGAATTTAAAAATGGCCTTTAACTGCCTCAAATTGAAATGGAATATAAGGCAAAAGATCCTTTGGGTCTGGCAGTGAAACGCAACGTGGCATAAAGCATTATCTTTTGTGACATGTGTTGATCAATTGGGCTTGAAGTACAAATCCTATTCAAACTAGTCTATTGTGCTTCCAGAGCATTCCACTTCAAAAGCAACGACAGTTCAATGTGTATGGGTATGACATGAATAAAGTGACCTGGCAAGATCAATGGCAGCTCAAACGGCTCCGTCTCAGTTCAGAAGTACTTGATACAAAACTATGGCAGTGCCTTAGTGAGCCTTCTAGAGAAATTATGTTGTGGCCGAATAAGGCCCACCTTTACTGAAGTTCGCAATAATCCATTGTAGCTCAAACAATTCAATGTAATTATTTACTTCAGGGCAATTACAATGACACTTTTGTGTTCCCTGCAGTGTCAGCTTTACAGAAACTCTGGAAAATAGTTTGCTGCCTAAAGCGTTCATTACCTACAAACATTTTCAGTGAGGAGAATTTGTGTTAGCTGACCTGAAGAAACAACTTCACTAGGGATTGTGAGCATGTTTGAATTGGAGATATAAACAACACAAATGTGGCCAGAAAAGTCCTACCTTTACAGAGGTGCGTGACAAACGATTCCAGCTCAAGCCAAATCTTTTCATCCATGTCTTGTTTAAGATTTGCTCGGTCCTGTCTGACTGTGTGCTTCCAACAGTTCCTCGTTAGTATAGTGGTGAGTATCCCCGCCTGTCACGCGGGAGACCGGGGTTCAATGAGCCCCGACGGGGAGGTTGCTGCCTTTTGCAAGCCTTAACTCAGAATGCCTGCTTCAGTCTAGTATGTGTCTTTTCATTTTTGACAGCATCTGCCGAGGATTTTCCGTAAACGCACCGTTTCTTGCCAACTCGCGCATTGGTGGTTCAGTGGTAGAATTCTCGCCTGCCACGGGAGGCCCGGGTTCGATTCCCGGCCAATGCAATGGACAGCAGACTATTTTACTGAGATAATTTGGATTGTTTTTGATACGTGGAAAGTAAAACAAAGTCATATTTGAGTCAATAGGCAGTTTAAACATTTACTGTACACAGAATTTAAAAATGGCCTTTAACTGCCTCAAATTGAAATGGAATATAAGGCAAAAGATCCTTTGGGTCTGGCAGTGAAACACAACGTGGCATAAAGCATTATCTTTTGTGACATGTGTTGATCAATTGGGCTTGAAGTACAAATCCTATTCAAACTAGTCTATTGTGCTTCCAGAGCATTCCACTTCAAAAGCAACGACAGTTCAATGTGTATGGGTATGACATGAATAAAGTGACCTGGCAAGATCAATGGCAGCTCAAACGGCTCCGTCTCAGTTCAGAAGTACTTGATACAAAACTATGGCAGTGCCTTAGTGAGCCTTCTAGAGAAATTATGTTGTGGCCGAATAAGGCCCACCTTTACTGAAGTTCGCAATAATCCATTGTAGCTCAAACAATTCAATGTAATTATTTACTTCAGGGCAATTACAATGACACTTTTGTGTTCCCTGCAGTGTCAGCTTTACAGAAACTCTGGAAAATAGTTTGCTGCCTAAAGCGTTCATTACCTACAAACATTTTCAGTGAGGAGAATTTGTGTTAGCTGACCTGAAGAAACAACTTCACTAGGGATTGTGAGCATGTTTGAATTGGGCTTGAAGTACAAATCCTATTCAAACTAGTCTATTGTGCTTCCAGAGCATTCCACTTCAAAAGCAACGACAGTTCAATGTGTATGGGTATGACATGAATAAAGTGACCTGGCAAGATCAATGGCAGCTCAAACGGCTCCGTCTCAGTTCAGAAGTACTTGATACAAAACTATGGCAGTGCCTTAGTGAGCCTTCTAGAGAAATTATGTTGTGGCCGAATAAGGCCCACCTTTACTGAAGTTCGCAATAATCCATTGTAGCTCAAACAATTCAATGTAATTATTTACTTCAGGGCAATTACAATGACACTTTTGTGTTCCCTGCAGTGTCAGCTTTACAGAAACTCTGGAAAATAGTTTGCTGCCTAAAGCGTTCATTACCTACAAACATTTTCAGTGAGGAGAATTTGTGTTAGCTGACCTGAAGAAACAACTTCACTAGGGATTGTGAGCATGTTTGAGAGATAAAAACAACACAAATGTGGCCAGAAAAGTCCTACCTTTACAGAGGTGCGTGACAAACGATTCCAGCTCAAGCCAAATCTTTTCATCCATGTCTTGTTTAAGATTTGCTCGGTCCTGTCTGACTGTGTGCTTCCAACAGTTCCTCGTTAGTATAGTGGTGAGTATCCCCGCCTGTCACGCGGAGACCGGGGTTCAATTCCCCGACGGGGAGGTTGCTGCCTTTTGCAAGCCTTAACTCAGAATGCCTGCTTCAGTCTAGTATGTGTCTTTTCATTTTTGACAGCATCTGCCGAGGATTTTCCGTAAACGCACCGTTTCTTGCCAACTCGCGCATTGGTGGTTCAGTGGTAGAATTCTCGCCTGCCACTGCGGGAGGCCCGGGTTCGATTCCCGGCCAATGCAATGGACAACAGACTATTTTACTGAGATAATTTGGATTGTTTTTGATACGTGGAAAGTAAAACAAAGTCATATTTGAGTCAATAGGCAGTTTAAACATTTACAGTACACAGAATTTAAAAATGGCCTTTAACTGCCTCAAATTGAAATGGAATATAAGGCAAAAGATCCTTTGGGTCTGGCAGTGAAACGCAACGTGGCATAAAGCATTATCTTTTGTGACATGTGTTGATCAATTGGGCTTGAAGTACAAATCCTATTCAAACTAGTCTATTGTGCTTCCAGAGCATTCCACTTCAAAAGCAACGACAGTTCAATGTGTATGGGTATGACATGAATAAAGTGACCTGGCAAGATCAATGGCAGCTCAAACGGCTCCGTCTCAGTTCAGAAGTACTTGATACAAAACTATGGCAGTGCCTTAGTGAGCCTTCTAGAGAAATTATGTTGTGGCCGAATAAGGCCCACCTTTACTGAAGTTCGCAATAATCCATTGTAGCTCAAACAATTCAATGTAATTATTTACTTCAGGGCAATTACAATGACACTTTTGTGTTCCCTGCAGTGTCAGCTTTACAGAAACTCTGGAAAATAGTTTGCTGCCTAAAGCGTTCATTACCTACAAACATTTTCAGTGAGGAGAATTTGTGTTAGCTGACCTGAAGAAACAACTTCACTAGGGATTGTGAGCATGTTTGAGAGATAAAAACAACACAAATGTGGCCAGAAAAGTCCTACCTTTACAGAGGTGCGTGACAAACGATTCCAGCTCAAGCCAAATCTTTTCATCCATGTCTTGTTTAAGATTTGCTCGGTCCTGTCTGACTGTGTGCTTCCAACAGTTCCTCGTTAGTATAGTGGTGAGTATCCCCGCCTGTCACGCGGGAGACGGGGTTCAATTCCCCGACGGGGAGGTTGCTGCCTTTTGCAAGCCTTAACTCAGAATGCCTGCTTCAGTCTAGTATGTGTCTTTTCATTTTTGACAGCATCTGCCGAGGATTTTCCGTAAACGCACCGTTTCTTGCCAACTCGCGCATTGGTGGTTCAGTGGTAGAATTCTCGCCTGCCACGCGGGAGGCCCGGGTTCGATTCCCGGCCAATGCAATGGACAACAGACTATTTTACTGAGATAATTTGGATTGTTTTTGATACGTGGAAAGTAAAACAAAGTCATATTTGAGTCAATAGGCAGTTTAAACATTTACAGTACACAGAATTTAAAAATGGCCTTTAACTGCCTCAAATTGAAATGGAATATAAGGCAAAAGATCCTTTGGGTCTGGCAGTGAAACACAACGTGGCATAAAGCATTATCTTTTGTGACATGTGTTGATCAATTGGGCTTGAAGTACAAATCCTATTCAAACTAGTCTATTGTGCTTCCAGAGCATTCCACTTCAAAAGCAACGACAGTTCAATGTGTATGGGTATGACATGAATAAAGTGACCTGGCAAGATCAATGGCAGCTCAAACGGCTCCGTCTCAGTTCAGAAGTACTTGATACAAAACTATGGCAGTGCCTTAGTGAGCCTTCTAGAGAAATTATGTTGTGGCCGAATAAGGCCCACCTTTACTGAAGTTCGCAATAATCCATTGTAGCTCAAACAATTCAATGTAATTATTTACTTCAGGGCAATTACAATGACACTTTTGTGTTCCCTGCAGTGTCAGCTTTACAGAAACTCTGGAAAATAGTTTGCTGCCTAAAGCGTTCATTACCTACAAACATTTTCAGTGAGGAGAATTTGTGTTAGCTGACCTGAAGAAACAACTTCACTAGGGATTGTGAGCATGTTTGAGAGATAAAAACAACACAAATGTGGCCAGAAAAGTCCTACCTTTACAGAGGTGCGTGACAAACGATTCCAGCTCAAGCCAAATCTTTTCATCCATGTCTTGTTTAAGATTTGCTCGGTCCTGTCTGACTGTGTGCTTCCAACAGTTCCTCGTTAGTATAGTGGTGAGTATCCCCGCCTGTCACGCGGAGACCGGGGTTCAATTCCCCGACGGGGAGGTTGCTGCTTTTGCAAGCCTTAACTCAGAATGCCTGCTTCAGTCTAGTATGTGTCTTTTCATTTTTGACAGCATCTGCCGAGGATTTTCCGTAAACGCACCGTTTCTTGCCAACTCGCGCATTGGTGGTTCAGTGGTAGAATTCTCGCCTGCCACGCGGGAGGCCCGGGTTCGATTCCCGGCCAATGCAATGGACAACAGACTATTTTACTGAGATAATTTGGATTGTTTTTGATACGTGGAAAGTAAAACAAAGTCATATTTGAGTCAATAGGCAGTTTAAACATTTACAGTACACAGAATTTAAAAATGGCCTTTAACTGCCTCAAATTGAAATGGAATATAAGGCAAAAGATCCTTTGGGTCTGGCAGTGAAACGCAACGTGGCATAAAGCATTATCTTTTGTGACATGTGTTGATCAATTGGGCTTGAAGTACAAATCCTATTCAAACTAGTCTATTGTGCTTCCAGAGCATTCCACTTCAAAAGCAACGACAGTTCAATGTGTATGGGTATGACATGAATAAAGTGACCTGGCAAGATCAATGGCAGCTCAAACGGCTCCGTCTCAGTTCAGAAGTACTTGATACAAAACTATGGCAGTGCCTTAGTGAGCCTTCTAGAGAAATTATGTTGTGGCCGAATAAGGCCCACCTTTACTGAAGTTCGCAATAATCCATTGTAGCTCAAACAATTCAATGTAATTATTTACTTCAGGGCAATTACAATGACACTTTTGTGTTCCCTGCAGTGTCAGCTTTACAGAAACTCTGGAAAATAGTTTGCTGCCTAAAGCGTTCATTACCTACAAACATTTTCAGTGAGGAGAATTTGTGTTAGCTGACCTGAAGAAACAACTTCACTAGGGATTGTGAGCATGTTTGAGAGATAAAAACAACACAAATGTGGCCAGAAAAGTCCTACCTTTACAGAGGTGCGTGACAAACGATTCCAGCTCAAGCCAAATCTTTTCATCCATGTCTTGTTTAAGATTTGCTCGGTCCTGTCTGACTGTGTGCTTCCAACAGTTCCTCGTTAGTATAGTGGTGAGTATCCCCGCCTGTCACGCGGGAGACCGGGGTTCAATTCCCCGACGGGGAGGTTGCTGCCTTTTGCAAGCCTTAACTCAGAATGCCTGCTTCAGTCTAGTATGTGTCTTTTCATTTTTGACAGCATCTGCCGAGGATTTTCCGTAAACGCACCGTTTCTTGCCAACTCGCGCATTGGTGGTTCA